TGATGTACCATCGTTGTAATTACATATAAAACTTTATCTATACTCTAATAAAAAGTTCCCCAGACCAAAGAGGTCACCTTAATACCAAAAAAATATATATATATAACGTATATAATATATCTAATATATATACTAGATATGACATATCTAATGGATATAATAATGTATCTACTAGATCCAACATATCCGATGAATCTGATATATCTGATAGATCTAATAGATCTGTTAGATCTGTTAGATTTTTTCTAACCCACATCTATCTACTGCAGCAAAAAATTATTTCAAGCCACAATTCACCCTTTCACAATAGTTACAGGTTGATTATAGATTATGTGGATTATATAATAATCTGTGACATATAATACTAGTGAACCTTGTAATAATAGTATACTATTTTATTATCACAACTAACAAATATTTACATAATATAAAACTATAAATAACTATTTTTTATATTTGCTATGAATTATAATAAGGTTTAACTATAAAGTTTAAAATATTTTATTAATATTTTTATATAAAGAAATATTTAAATAATTTTATAATTGCATACCAAATACTGTATATAATCATTCATCAACAATTTCAATAGTTTCAGTATTAATTTCAAAAATAAAAGTTATAACTCTATATGGGAACCCCACCGCAAAACAAACCAGTGGGCAAAAAAAATTTTTTTTTAAAAAAACTCAATTTCTCGAAGAATTGAAGTATTAGAAATGCAATTTTTATAAAATTACAAAAACAAAATTTTTTGCCCACTGGTCTGTTTTGCTGTGGGGGTCCCCATATTAAAAACTTTCTTTTTTCTCTCAACAAAATTTAGCTTCTTTTTCTTTTGTTGTATTATTATATAAATTTACTTGATTGAAAACTATATAAGTTTTTGTTTCAATTTTATCAGTTATTTTTCCTCATTCTTTAAAATTAAATAGCTTCACAACCTATTGATAGCCTTGCAATTCTCTGAATATACAATTATACTTTCTTTGATAGTTTGTATACTGAAAATTTTTTAATTCTAAAAATAAAATGTAAAAATATTTTCAAAACAAGGAAATTCTATTAGTTTTAGATCTTGGATAGAACGATGAGAGGTTAAACATTTCTAAACAAGATTTATGAAAGTTGAACAAAATTGCTGGCAATTAGAATAAAGAGGAGTATAAAGTGGGTATTGACTATAAAGAGACTTGTTGTTTTTGTACTTTTAATTTTATGAGCTCTTAAAGAGCTCTTATAAATATAAATTTTTAGACAAAATCTGCAATGAAATATTGAAGTTACAGAAGTTAACATAGTGTGAAAAATAAAAGCTAAAAATAAATGTGATTATTGTTTTTATGTTATCACATTTCAAATGCATCATATTAGCCCATATGAAATATCTGAAATATTCCAAAAAATTAACCAAAAATATTAATATATTTGGCATAGTAATTTTATAGCGTTGGCATTATTCAGAGAGAAATGATACAGTATAGGTGAGCAGATCAGTATAGTACAGAACAATTTTTAAAACTATACTATACGAATCTGCAAAATTATAAAAATTAATGCTCATATATATAATATCTGGTCCGTATAGTATAGATTTAAAAATCGGCCTATAGTATACTAAGCTACCCACCTATACTATACTGATTTGCAAAATACTTCATTCAGAAATAATAAATATACGCATACAAAAATAAAATTTATATGCTCCTGTGTGCAACTTGAGTAAGTTTATGCAATAAAACCTATGACACAGATGCATTTGTGTATGTAGGCTTCAATCTGAATTTTAAACACTGCTCTAATCCTATTCCGCCAACAAACTCACCTAGGATCACCACCAATCAGGTATATAATCGATGCTTAATATTTGTAAAACCTATTTAATATATGATTTTTAAAAAATTTTAAGGTATATATTTTTAGATTTTTTTTAGATTTGGCTAGAATGTAGGGTTAGAGTTTGTAATAAAAGAGTATAGGTGGGTTTTAATAGGGTTTATGTTTTTAAATCAAGGCCCCCAGATTTCACGATCACCATCATCCGCGACATTTATTAGGCATTTAATTTTTTAGGAATTAGAAAGCGTACTGTATGTTATCCTCAACTAGGGCTGTTAATCGATCCGGTCCGGATCGACGGTCCTTCGGTCCATTCAAGGATCGGGCCAGTCCTCTTTAGGACGGATCGAAAGGACCATCAGCCCTAATAGTAACTAAGGATGTGCATTAGGACGACTTTAGAAAGGATACCAAATCTCACAAGGAATTTTTTTGTTAAGACGCAAGCAGTTTTATAGCCGAAGTTTTGAGTTATGGACAATTTTTTGAAAAAAAACTTGGAAGTCTATTTTGGTTTCAAAATTATGACTGATCCTGTGTTGTTATTGGTTTAAAATCATGAGACTGAGGGCTTTTCGGTAACACAACCCAAAAATAAACTAAGTACGTACGTAAAAATAGAAGTTTAGGATTAGGGCGTAAGGGTTGTGAGCTTTAGCGGTAAGTTAGAGTTTCGTATATGTAAAATTTCACTCCTGTTATTTTTTATTAGGCCACAAAGGTCAATTTAAACACCAGTTTTTGCCGGGCTGATCCGGAATACCCGAAATTTGTGCTCTCTGATTGGCAATTTCCTTTTTAGAGGTTTGTATTACCGGCACAAATAAGTGGATGCCTGAGAATATCTTGAATATCGATCCATCCGATCTAATTCTATTCGGTCCTATTCTATCCTGGACTGTGACCCAATCCGGTCTTTTAAAAGATCACAGTACTTGGACCGGACGGACCGATTAACAGCCCTATCCTCAACCAAGGATGAAGCAGCCACATGATTTTACAGAAAGCTTAACTATAATCTCGGTGCTTGCGTTATAAATCTAGCGTTTGTGCTAATAATTTAAGTCCTGTACCAAAATCTTAGCGCATGCGCTGAAGCCTCAAACTAGGGCTCTGCAAGTAAACATGCCGGGTACATTAGTACTATGCCAGGCAAAATGCTAGTGCTCAAATGCCCACCGCCTTTTTTTGTTGTATTCGAACAGTGCCAGTACGTGTATTATAAGAATACATTTATAGATTGGCTAATTTAGATCGATCTGAGCATTCACGACACTTTACACTTTTTTATTTAAACCATAATCTTATTCTATTTTTTTCTTCACTAGGATATATCACCTTTTATCTAATTATTAACACACCAGATAACTAAGCCAACTAATGAAAGTTCGAACCTTTTTTTTTTTTTTTACCAAATGTTTTATATCTATATAATAATGTAAACGTTACGAACTTGTTAAATTATATATGAGCCTTAAATATATTACAATATGTACTATATATACATATATATGTACAAGTATTATTTTAATAAAAATTGACTTTATTAATTAACTGATTATATAAATATGTAATATGTCTAGTACCGTGCCGGGCACCAATACTAATACCAATACTTGTGCCAGCGCCTATGTAAGACTCATTTATATTATGCCTGTGCCCTAAAATTTAAAGTCAAGTTATGCCTGTGTCTTACAGTAAATGCCTTTTTTTTTTATAAGTATGTGTTGGGTCTGCAGAACCCTGCCTTAAATGTAATAACGCCTACTAATGGTACGATTAACATGACTATGATAGACGTACAATTAAGGTAGGTGGCAACTTAAAGAATTAGACAAACACGGAGGTGGAAGATTCAGGAAAAATTTAGTAAGTTTGGTTTCTTGAATTTATCTATGCATACTTTTATAGAATTAAGGTTTAACTTCTGATATACCTTTGTGTAAAAAATAAAAAAAAAACTATTCTCATTTCTCATTTTGGATTTTTTTTGCGGACATTACTAATAAAAAAGAAAAAAGATAAACGCTACCCGAAGTGCAAATCAGATTTTGATAATAAGAAAAATTTAAAGTCATGATCATTGATATACTAACACTAGTAGATCAAATAAGTTTATTTTGTCTGAACCACTAATAAACCTTTATTTGCGCATCTAACCCTAAAATATTGAGAATATTCTTTGTTCATCCTTAACAATCTTGGATCATTATGTTTTTCTCGTTTTTTTTTATAAATTCACTTTGGCAGTATCAATTTATTTTTTTAAACAATTTTAAAAAATATTTGCCATTACAATTTTCAGACAAGGCAACTTCGCGGATAATTTATAAATTATGATTAATGATCAAAGTATTCCAGGATTGTATGTCGTTTTACTGATCGGTTTAACTTTTGCAACGTTTGATGTAATTTGCTCGATTTATGTGATCGCGAGGTCATTGAATCGATGGCTAGTAACAAAAACAAATCTGACAATGGCTTATAAGGTTCCTTTATACATTGCCATTTCTGGTGTGTTATCAATTTTCTACATTCTTCGAAATCATATGTATTCGATTATCTAATTGCAATCCTTTTAATATTTTGTTAAATTTCTCTAGACTTGATTTTAGTATGCAATAACGTACCAAATCTTGTAATTATTCCCTAAAATAATTCATCAAATCTATATATATATATACTAATATATTTCTTTACTGCGTAGTTGTATACGTTAATAAATAAGCATCCATTAGAAGGAACCATTTGCAGAGTGATCGGTGGAACAACGTTCTTCGCTCTCGGATGTAACATAACTGTAGTAGGATTATTGGCTCTTGTGACTTACCTTCGTATATGTAAAAGATATAATGTCAATTTGGGAAAGTACGATTATAGGCTGTTTCTTTCCATGATATTATTTAATATTGGATTTACTATACTTGCAGTTCCATCCCTTGGCCCTGCTAAATATTGGTATGTTTTTATTTCTAAAGTATTTTCTTTAGTATTTAATAATGCGTGATGAAATTCAATTTTATAATTAATAGGTGTATTACTGGACTAAATCCAATATTATCGCTATTAATAATTACTTTAAATTGCATGATATTTATGATTACTGTATTCTGTTACTTTATGACTTTACGAGAAATAAACAAACGGCAGAGACTTATTAAAGAATATGCTCTCTCAGCTTATAAAGTCAATTGGATGGAAATAATGGCTACAAGAAAAATTATTGGTTATATTTTAATTTATCTTATGCAGTGGACGCCCGTGGTGATTTATATTGTCGGATTAGTGTTTAATGTATGCATAATACGCTTTAAATTCTTGTCTGGAATTAAATCTAATTTTTCAATCTATTTATTTATTTAGTATGACAGAGTATGGACGAACGTCATAGCAGTAATAACAATAAACATGGGCGGTATAGCAAACATGGCTGCATACATTATAAACGAAAAATGGCGCGATGATTATAAATCTAGCTTAGACATGTCCCCTTCGTACCCTTCTTCAAAGTATAATACCGCAAGTAAAGATACTTATAATAGCAATAATTTATTGACATCTCAAATAGAGATTGAAGAGGTCATTACGATTGAGATCAAGCAAGACGTTGTTTCAAGTTCACCAGCAGAGGAAGTTCGATAAAGTGACTGCTGCTCTGAAATGAATTTAAGCCAATATAAGGCTCTATTACAGCATTATAAAATCAAGTTCAAAGAATAATTAGTCAACTACAAAATATTTAAACCCAATAACGAGGCTATCAGTTATATATATTTTCATCAAAAACTCACTGTGAAATCAACTGTATTATATTTGTTTTTCTTTACGTGTAACTTTCAATATTGTAAATTACTAGGTCGTTGTTGAACAACGGATAGCATAATACAAATAAATCATGTGATGCTAGACGCATTGAATTTATCATACAGATAATTTTAATATTATTAGCCTATTTTATTATGAAAAATCTGCTTGCTACTTTTTTTTTAATATATATATATATATATACTAACCATTATTGAGATTACGTAAATTGGAACAACCTTGATAGTTCATCACGATATAAAATTGTCATCTCGTTCAAGGGGCTAATCATACGTACTACCGATATTTAACTTAAGAGTGGTGTAAGTAATTATCAGAAAAAAATAGATAATGAAATTCGATCAATTTATATTCAATCATAATTCTTTAATACTTGAAATGACAATCTTAAAATCCTTTACTTAGACATGGTGCGAATTGCTATAGTTCAAATCCTAACTATCAAGCATATTAATTGTGGCTATTTGGTCGATCATTAATATGGCAATATATTCAAAATTCTTGAGTAGATATATTTATTCGCACTTTTGATATATAAGATCAGCAAATAAAAATTTATTACTTTTTATAGATCTGAAACACTCTACTGAAAAATATGATCACCCTTAACATGTGTGTAGATTAGTGATGATTTTTTAAATACTTATCCGGCAAAGCATTATAATGCTGGTAGCGGAATTTTTGTTAATTTTCGAAATATTCCGAAACTCAAGAAATTCCGAAAAATCACATGAACACGCGCATGAAATTTGAAAAAATTAGAATTTGCACATCACTAGTGTAGATGAATTTCTAATATTAAGTTTGATTTCCGAACATGACAAGATCAAATTTTCAGTACTAAAATTTGAACCACCGTACGCAACATAAATAGTTCTTGAATAGTGCCATTATCACCGAAAAAATAAAGCAATAGTTGCATCTTATAACTCCGCCGTATCCACAGACTCATTCAACAGGATTATATCCACTAAGAATTTCATTGATGCTTTTAACTTTCATAACTACATCATTTTTTGTTTGAAAATGTCATAAATTCCAAATGAAAGTTTCACGAAGTAGTAATTTAAAATTGTATATATTATTTGTTACTGAATATTTATTATTCTTTTATCAACTTATGTTGCAATTCAACAGCATGTTTTTCGTTAATAACTTTTGAAAATGGTTCTGTCGTCTGTATGGGAGTGTTTATGTTAAAGATACGTGATGTGGAAGAATTGCTGATGATACTGGCCTATTCGGAAATATTAGCTTCTTTTATCTACGATTTGTTCATATAGTTATAAATTGTCAATAACGTCATAACCAGATGTTTGAAAATAAACGGATAAGAAGCAAACAGCTCTATAAAGTATCCTTCATAGGCAAACCAAATTCTTAAGACCAATTTTCAGTATTAGATGATATACCAGGATTTTGAGTATCCCTATTCGATAACATAATTCCAAATTTTTACTTTTCTATTCGTAAATCATATATCGTTTAATAAATGACATTAAAGCATTTTCTTGAATAGAACTAAACTCTTCTTAATCAAAAATCTTAACAGAGCCGTGAAAAAAATTGACGGGCACTACGTTCATTCCGCACGTAGACCTTATTTTTGTGGGCATAAAAAAATTTTAAACGTTGATTTTAAAAATAATGTACGGCATGCGCACATTATATTTTAATATTTTTACTAATAAATATCATGTGATGTGCGCTATAATCAGTAATTTTTCGATAGAGAGATTGATACTTTGAAGTTTTAATTTTCTCTCAAATAGTCTTTAACTAATTAAATAATTATTTACTTTCTATATTTTTTCTTCGGTGCAAATAAGATCAACCAATTGATAATAATAATTAATCTTTATAACTTGAATAACTTGAATCTAATTCGAATAAGATAATCAGATCAAATAATTGAATACCGTAAACTGTCGTATACAAAACCCCAGATATCAGTACTATACCCGGGTCTACAACATGGTAAAGTATTGGTAAAATGTAAGCGACCGGGGTATACAAATAGGAAAAAACCAATAAAATAGAGTAAATCCCCAATTATCAGACCCACACCCATACAAGAGACCCACGGGTCTAAATATAGATTTTATAATCGGTAAAATGAATTAGACTCGGGTCTTGTATATGACAGTTTACGGTGCTTTTTATGTGTATGAATTACAAGTTGACATGAATTCAAGGCTAAATTAAAATTATAATACGTCAGAAATAAGATCAAATTAAATTTCCAAGAACTAATAAGCGCACATTAATTTCAAAATTCAGTGCGCAAAATACACAATTAAAATTTGAATTTTTTACACTGTAACCGTGTGTTTTACCGCAATATATTGCACTAATTCTGCAATTCTTGATGTTAATTTTGAAAACTTTTTTAATATACAAAACGTAAACGAAGTCGAGATGCTTTATTTTTTCAGAAAAAGGCTTGTAAATAATAAGCATAAGATGAAAATAAATGAAGTATCAAAATTTTTTATCGAAGCTACACTGCCATAGATATACCTTCAATTAAATTTACTGTATTAATATTTTAGACACCATGTAATGTTATTATAAATAGGAATATGTTATGTCGCGGCAGATATAGATATTTTGATCTATATTTTATAGTTATTGGATAGGGTTTAAAAAATATGTACGTGGGTATTAAACGGCGACAGGTGATTGGCGCGCGAAGCGGCATGACCTAAGCCAATCGCCTGTCGCCGTTTGATACCCATGTGCATATTTTTAACCCTATCCAATAACGGTATTATTGTGAAGCAGTTATTGACGACTATACTATTTTTTCACTTTCGTATAATTTACGTCATCAAATTTAAACTTTTCTTTAATTTGTGTCCTTTTTTTTTTTTTTGTAGGGACAAAATTTTAAGCTATAAAAAAAGGATGATAAATAAGTGATTACGTAAACTGTACAAATATGAAAATTTTCAGTGCAGTCGTCAATAACATGGCTGCACAATAATTGTAAATATGAACTCACAAACTATTTTGATTAACAATTCTAACTTTTAACCTAACCTTTAAAAAAGAAAACTAAAAAAAAAGTCTCCCAAACTTTTTGTTATAGCTATTTTCAAAAAGGTGTAAGGGGAATTTACGGCATTTCCCAGATTTCCTGAATTCTCATGACTCTGCATCAATAAGAGTTTAATTTTTACTAGTCTAAATTTCAAAATTTTTCCATTTTCCCCTTAAGTATATAAAGTTAAAATGACCTAACCGTAAAGTTAATTCAATTAGAGATTAGGCCGAGTAGTTTTTAAATTGATTACTAATTTGCAAATTAAAAATCACGTGACGCATATAAATTACTATGATTCCCGCTTTAGGCATTCCCCCAGATGTAAATTATGTAAATCCAATTTTAAGCTTCTTACAGCATTCACCATGTCATGGGAAATTCACAATATTTCCCAATTCCGGTGTTTTCAAGACCCGAGTTTAATTTTTACTAATCTAATTTCCAAATTCTTCAATTTCCCCATAGGTACGTATATGGAAATCGTTGTTCACACATTTTTGAAAATGGCTGTAAATTAGGAATCGATTTAGTCATGATCTAAAATAGAATCGATTCACACCCCTATTTCAGCGTCAGCAGTAATATATTTCGGTTTATTGTTTTTCCCTCTACTAACATTTACTAATTCATTACGAAAAATACAAAAACCTATGTCCGAATGCGCACAGAGTATTTTAGTACTTGGAAATTCTACAGTATTAATAATTGGTTTCAGAATTAATGATTCAACGTCCGATTTCAGATAAAATAAGTGCCGTATTTATTTCAAAAGAAGCGACGTACAATTCAATTTTTTAAAGTATGTACTTATCTACATAATCGCTTATCGGTGAATGTTTATCAAAGAAAGCTAATTTCATCACCGACTATGCTTATTTAATTTTAACTCCCATTTATGAAAAAATAGTTAATTCTGAAACCCCTCAATTACGTTAAGTCATTTTCATCATCAAGGAGTTCAAGATAAATGTTTGAAAGATTTTCAAAAAATTTAACGCCGTTTTTTCATTAACTGATCGCTTTTAATAATACAGTAATATTGCAGAAAACATATTAATAATCAAGCAATTTTATTGGGTACTGCCAATAAATCTATCGTTGTAGTGATGAGATAATCCGAACTAGCGTTGCAAACTTAATTAAATTAATTTGGGTACTACAGTGAAAACGTGGGGAAATTTACAATTGTTTTTTTTACTTTTTTTGGAACCTGAAGTCTCCCAAAGGATAAATCGTTTTTTACTAAGCAACCTCTTTCCAACTTCTAATAAAAGTTATAGAGGAGAGAATGAGATATGGGCATTTTTGTCTTCGTTTATAGTAAACATATAGTCGCGAAGACAAAAATGCCCATATCTCACAATCCACTGGGCCGGTTTTAACGTTCAGATTCCAAAAAAAGGCAAAATTCACATAGTAAAATTATCTCCAAAGTTTACTTTATATTTTTATATACTTTTGTATAATTAATACTTACATTATTTAAAGGCAGATAATATATGTACAAGTTATTTAAACTACGTATGTACATACGTGTAATAAAAAGCATTACATCAATTATTTACAAGATGGGCTTCCATTTCTACAGCTCCAATACTTTGAACAATAATGGCAATTGTACTGCGGTCATTAGTGACATTATTTATTGAATATTAATCCCAAAATTTCTTTTAGGAGACCTGCATTCTTTCGTTTTAGTTGTTTTCCTAAACACATATCACTTTGAGGTTGTTTGTTTGACAGTTTAAAAATTTGTAGAAGTTAATTCATC